AATTTTTAATTAACGAAAAAGTTTTCTGTATTACCGAACTTACTAAATATTGTCAGTATTATGGAGTATGTATGAAAGAAGATAATATGTGTAATAATAATAATAATAATAATATATACGAGAGAAGATAATAATATGTATGATTACACTTCGTTCATGTACTTCTCAATTCAAAACTTGTTTATATGTATAGTAATTAATAAAACATTAAGAAGTTATTGAACGAAGACGTTATTGACGATTCGACACTTTTCTTATCGCAATGTACATGAAATACGTCCAAGTACTTGTCGAACAATAAGGCTATAAGTAATTCCAAGTAGTACAAGTCAGGCATTGGTCAGACACATGTAATATCTATTGTACTTAATGATCTTCTTTCTTTCATTGATTATGATATCATAAATAAGATTATGATCAGGATTTATATATATATTCGTATAACAAATTTTTCGAAATATTTTAGCGAACTAATAATTAATAGAGTTTTTCGCATAACAAAGAAATCTAGAGTGTACCATATATTTTGCGAGTTGAAGGGATGGCTCAGGGCTAATAAATAAAGAAGCGAACAAGCCCCAAAGCATCGATGCTCGCTGATCCGTGCTAACGACAGTCAAAGATTGGGGAACTAACGTAACGTTGGTGACGGGATACGATCGAACCCTCAGGGCCCCGGCTTACCGGAATATTCCAGTCTGGTGGAAGGAAACGACGTGATGCTTCCGCGATAACGTTTGCATTTTGAGACAGCTTAATTAGCTACTCAGCCGGCTTAAGCGGCTTCTTGACTGGCTCAAACAGCCACTCCGGATCAAGCCTCTTGAAATAAATTCCTTTCATGAGATTTTTCCACAGATTTTTATTAATTCCTGAGGGGAGCAAGTCAAATCTGACTGAGAGTCTCACAGGGAAAACCATTTGACTTTTATGAAATTTTGTAGATATTCTCTTTGTAACGATGTCAAAATTAAGTAATTATAATTGCTCTGAAATTTAGTTTATAATTGTATTAGATTCCTTTACGTATAGAATTGTAATTTAACAATTTTGACAGCTTGTTATAATTATTATTTCTTTAATTAAAGTCATCAATAAGTAAATTCATAAATTAGATGTCAAGGCACAACTTTTAATGCTGTCTCAGTTTATAACTAGAAGTGCGTACGCGTATTCGGAATAAATGGTTTCTGAAGGAGAACGAGACTCGAGCAACTGAAACAATGTAAAGTGGAAAACTTCCGGTGCGGCGGAAAGACATCAGGTTCGTCATGGTCCCGGAAAATGCATTTTTCCTTGTTTCCCAGGCATTCGTCAATTTGATACGCTTGTTAAAAGTTTCCTTGCGCGAAATTTTCAAAAGCACTATTGTTCCTCTCATTTCTTTTTCTATCTTCGTACGCTTTGTGAAACTAAATCATAGTTCGTTTGTAGAAGCTCGTTTTATATCAAAGAAATTTGAAATAAAATTGTATGACAAGTAAAAGTTGTGTTTCTTAATTGTCCTCATTAATTTATGTTGTTATAAAATACAGATTGAAGTACTATAGTAGAGTATGAAAATTTTGTATGTTAAATTACAGAATCATCAACATCTGGATGGAAGAATGTAAAATATATGATCAATTTCGATGATTAGTCCAACGTCCAAGTGTCTTGGAATAGAATTTTCTTTGCTGATTAATCTTTTATTAGAGAATTCTAATAAGGTTTCGTCTAGAATACTGTAATTTTGGGAATCCTATCAAAAATGAAACCAGCTCTACGAGCGTGTCGTTTTCGTTCTAAAAACAGTTCGTGTGACGTCGAAGCTACCGAGGACGATTCGAAATAGCAATCATACAAAATTCGGAATCCTTTCTAAAGTTAAACAGTTGCACATTCACATTTAACACAAATTGTTCCCAACTGATGAATTCCATTAAAAAAACGAAGAAAATATGGCTCATCCACCCCCATAAGCCAGGAAATTTGTAGACCGTGACCTGTACAAACAGGATTTAAATAAAGTTTCGTTTAGCATTCGCATCCTACGCAGGGATTCAACGTAGCACTTTATCAATGAAAAAACAATCACCTTGACCTATCCACCCCCATAAGCCCCAAGATCCCGCCGCAGACCGTGACCTGGTCACCCGAAAATGCGTCAATCCTGCACCCTTACACCTTTCAACCACCCACGCACCCAGACCAACTTTCTTCACCATTGTTTCACATAGTGCTCAATAGAATAATTAATGCAGTGTTTCAGTAATAATTGATACAACGTTTCGCATAATAATTAACAGAGTAATTCATATATCATTTAATATTAAATTTTCAATACAACTTTTTAATCATTTACATTTACCATAAGACTGTTCAGTGAATCGATATAATATTCCTGTATTTCATTAAACCAAAATTCATTTTCCAAATTCCTAAACGAAAATCGATAAATGACAGTGTTACTTCCTGTTGATTCCTGAGTGACAATTGACCAGGATAATTATGCTTAATAACGATGGTAATGGGTTAAAAAGAATTGATCTATTTTGAATGAGATTATTAAGCGCATTTTAAACGCCGGTACGAACAGGTGTCCGCGTTTGCACCGAGAGGACGGTGGGCCGTCCGTCGCGACGCCTGCGCAAGCGGGTAGAACCCCGTTCGCGTTCGAAAGAAGAAGAGGGTTGGACGTCGGGGCGACGCCGCCGCGGCGAAGAATGAGGGCCAGTGGGCTAGTAGTATCCGTGATAACGTCGCTTCAGTAGATCGTCGGCCGTCGCGCGCGGCTTCTTTCGCCTCCTCGCCTCGCGACAATTCCGCGCCACCCTCGTCGCGCTCCTGGAGCCCGCAGGCAGCACGTGATACCGCGCGCGCGTACGATCGAGAGTGATCTGTCTCGGTCCGAGCGCGAGTCGCGGATCGAGAATGGGTGAGCGATCCGAAAACGGGGAATGAGTGTGCCTTGGACGAGCGAGGGTCAAGGGTCGAGTGGTTGAGCATTGGTAGAAATCGCTGATCGGAAGTGCTTATGGTTGACCGTTGGTTCAACCGTCGATCGATCGTGGGTCCAGTGATTATTTTTTATTAAATCATGTTTCATGCGTCTGTTTAGTGATCGACTGTGTGTTACTCGTCTTGTGTTGTTTCGAGCGACGCTTGTAACGTTGCGATAAGATTGACACGGTGACGTAAAGTAGTTGTTCGCGGAAGAGCAAAATCGGATTAAGTAGCGTTGCGGCGGCGGTGCGAAGTCGGGGTAAAAGTTGTTAATTTCATCGGCAGTGGTGGCTGCTTTTTAATCAACGCTCGAGTTTGACGAAGGTGAATCCGCGCAAACACTTTGGTTGTACAAATTGAATTTCGCGGTGGAGGAAAGGAGAGTTAGTTACACTACTGACGATTTCACGGTAGAATTTCTCTCGTGGAATTCAAGGTCGCAGTGGTAAAAACGTCCCTCGACTTTCTGGAGAGACAATTTATTCTTGATTGATATATAACCAAGTCACATAGAAATTACAAAGTATCCAGCTGCAGTTTTTCTACATTTGTCCTTTGTTCCTGAATCTAGTTGCATTATATTGCTTCATTCAGATAAATGTTAGTCAGTTTTGTAGAATTATTTTATTCACTTTCCTTATTCTGTTTTTCAGTCTTTACTTAACACACACATGTATAATTTCGTTACATTCTCTTTTCTTTAAGAAATAAAAATGTTTAATTTGTCTGAGTAGTCCAACGACTATTCCTCGCTTGTTACAATTTAATTTGAACCTGCGGCTAGCCGATTACTCGAGTCAAGGCAACGAGGTATATCTCGCGAGAGGGACGGGGCGCTTCTCTAACATTTTTCGCCTCGTGAATATTCAAATTTCAAATTGCTCCGCTAATAAATTAATACGGCCGAGTTGCTGGCCCTCGAGTTTCATAATAAATTGGACCTTATTTTCGTTACTGTAACGCGAACGATCCGTCGTGGAGGCCAAACCCAATAAACTCTATTCCGTACGGGAATAACGATTATTCGACGTCGCTTTCGACAGCCGAATAATACCGCTTTCTCTATCAATTAGCATCGTTTCGCAACGAGACCTCCCGTGGTGATTGAAATCCCGCGTAATGGTTTATCCGGACAGGTATTCACACTGTTTCCCTAAATGTTTTCAGGACCTCACATTTTAGGAAACAATCGATAGTAAAAATTTAGAGAAATCTCGCAATCAATCAATAAAACATTATTCTGTGCGGTGTAATATTTAAGTTGAAAAATGAATTAACAATAATGACAAATAACTCACAGAG